TTTTCGCCAGTGCCCGTGTTGAGGCTAATATAAAAATACAGAATGGACGGTCTTATTGTCACTAAACACATAAGCCAAAAGTGGGCGCCCAAGATGGAGCCAGTACAAAACAGGAATAACAAATAACGTGAAAAGTAAAAAGAGATGATTATAGCAGATCGTTTTTTGCCATCTTTTTTTTTTTCCTGCCGCAGCTCTTTCCAAAACGACCCTCCTCACAATCTCCCGGCTAGGCTCTCAGCGTGCGTGTCGGCTGCCAGTATATATTTTTTTCAAAGATAAAATCTTGTCGCCCACCAGCTGCTTTTCGTCACCTTTTTTGCCTTCGCATGTTCTGTAGATGCAAGTTTGAGTTCATGTGCCGTTCCGCAAACGACCACAGACGGCCGAACCTCTTCACTGAAAGGGGTGCTTGAGCTGTTTTACGAAAACGAACATCAGTTCCACATGACCTTGCGGGAGATGCAAGACACCACAACGCGACAGCGTTCGGAAATAACCGGAACTAATTACAGAGGTGCCAAGGGCTTAAAGGCAGGTATCAGAAGAAAACTAGAGAAAAGCCGGGAATTCGAAAAAAAAAAACTAGAGATAAGAGAAAACAGGAAGGTGGCGTCAAAACTCCTGGATGTAACAACGTTTGCGGCCAGTAGCTGTGGGAGAGGGAACGTAAACATATACTTGTCGGCCGCGGAACGGGGCACTTTTTGTGTGTGTGTGAGTGTCGCCAACTAATATGCACCCACTCCGATATTCCCCTGAAAAATATCGCCTACCTAGCTGTGAAGCAATTTTCAACTGGTTTATTACGTAAAGTGTAAAGAAGTAAAACAAATTAAAAAAAAATGTCATGATCAGCCCTACATTGAGAATAAATAAAATATTTTCACGCAAGTTGTTCCGATTGTGTGTTCACTGTTGAATGTAAGGTTGAATAGGTTGCATTATCAGTAAGAACGCCGTGACGAAAATAGACAAAAAAAAAACATTCAAAAGCACAAGTACGCAAACAGTTGTGTTCGCAATTTCCTGCCTTTCATCGCTCTTTTCGTCTAACAGTTTTCATATTATTCACTCCATAACTGCTCGCTCAATTGCCAGCACTGAAGTTACAGTCACTGAAATTTCAAAGAGGCTCGAGTCTACTGTTATGAGATCGCACGCATGCTAAGTATATTTCGTGGTTGTCGCATCTGATACTGTATTGTAGGAATACTACAGACATGTTTGGAGGAAGTAAAAAGTCTATCTTATTTTGTGTTAAATGAACAGTGACAACTGTAAATTGCTGACGTTGCTTATTCTAAACGAAATGATTAAATGTGAAGCAACGTTTTCTGAAGCGACACACTCACATTTACTATAATGAATTTGGATACATTAGGAAAGGTGTAACTCTTCCAGATCAGTTGTGCGATTCGAGTGAAATGGGCTCACAATTTTTACCTGGTCGGTGTGCAAAGCTCCATGCATCACGGACAAGACAATGCCGAAAATTTGCCAAGGCTGCAGCTATGTAAAAGCAACATCGGTAATTACCTGGTGGGCACACGCTAGGAGGATAATAAAAGATTTTGCGGGTCGCACACAGATGCACGCGCTCAATAGGTGACCGGTAATATGGGCAATCGCAGGTAACTGGGGGATACGATGGCTTCCGGTTCGACGCATCATGCGGGTCAGCAGCGGCACGCCTGCATTTTTGTACCACTCCGTTGAAAAAAGAATCTTTCTGTGCAATGTCAGTGCTTTAGAAGTTGTTTTTTTTTTGTTTCTGCTAATTGTGACTGCGACGATGACAAGCTACGAAAGCTATTAACGAGAAAAATACTTTTTTACCGCACTAAAATGATTTGCAATGCTCTTATGTAGCTCGGGGTATACTGTCAGTTTCGCTAGCAGATCACTCGATACATATAAGACAGTTTTCATTGTATGATACGTTACTGCAGATGAAAATCACCATTTTAAAGATATCAGGGGATAGGGATGACTGTAGCAGTGTGCTAAGAATTCATTTCGGGATCGCTGCTTTGGCCGACATCGTCGGTCTATCGGCATGAAGCGCAGCACTTATTGAGCGCGTTGAGATATCCCTTTTTTTTTTCCTAGCCTTCAGTGTGCTATAAGATGCATTTCTTAGTCGATTGATTGATTGATTGATACGTGGGGTTTAACATACCAAAACCACCATATGATTATGAGAGACGCCGTAGTGGAGGGCTCCGGAAATTTCGACCACCTATTTCTTAGTCGAAGCCAGATGCTTATTGGAACGCTAATCTTGATCAAGCTGCGAGGCACGGCGGCACATAAACAATACAGTCAGACATAGACGGCACTGAATAATCGAAACCCTGCGCTTGTTTAACGCAGTTCTTACTTTGTGTGTCGTCCTGGCGCACAGTTTAACCAAGATAAACGCAAATGAACTCGTCGAGCGCTTCGTGTAAACTTACTCTTGAGTAAACCTTTCGCGTTTTTTGTCATATATTATATGAGTGCAATTGCCGGCGCTTATCTCGTATGGCAGGTAGATTTCACCCGCTTGTTTTCATAATAATTTTGCTAAGTGCGCCTGTGCGACAGTTTATTTCTCCATATAATATCGCAGTCAATCCATGGGTAATCTTTTTATTAGTGCGTGTTACATACGTAACCTGTGATAAAGTGGTCTTCACACACTCTGACTTAAACTTTCGGTACCCAAAGTCTACTTGTCGCTGTGGCTCTCTTCACAGCCGCGGCCCACTTCATTTTGCTTTCTTTGTTTCATGGGAATCGATGCATGAATTTGCCTTTCACGCTCGAGTTGGAGCAGCCAACGACTGAACAACCAACCATGGTTTATCAGAACCAAGATAAACGTGCGACCGCACGCGCGAATCCCGAATAATCTGAGGCTGGAGGGAGGCGAAGTGGTTCGCCATCCTCTCTTCTTCTCGAACCGAAAGCCGGCAGCAGACGACGCATCGCACAATCCCTCGCTCTTTTAACTACCGCCAACGCCTCCTCTAGAAAGATGCCTGCCGCATGAGAAGTCGTCCTAGGGACCCCGGACTAGGGGTCCCTCCCATGCTTTTTGTTCTACCTACATAATAAAGATGTTTGTCTCTCTCTCTCTGCCGCATGAGAAGAAAAACAGCTGCCCCCCCCCCCCACCCTCGGTGGCGCCGCAGTGGTGGTTCGGGAACTAGACCTGTCACGCCAGTTTTCGAGCACGCGGCGGGCCCACGACCTCCTCCATAAACTTACGACCTGCTCATCCGCGCAACTCCTATGGAGGCGTTTGTGTCTAAAAACTGACGCGTAGGGATCACAGATGCCGCCAGGTGCCGCTACAACTTACCTTCGTAGCAGACGATGCTCTTGTGCATGCGTGTTGCTTTCATTGTTTTTCCCAGTTTCTAACGCGTGGATCAAGCAATGAGCAGATTAGGCGCCTCGAAGCAACATTCCAGCTGTCAGAAGCACCACGGTGGCTGGCTCTGGGGTCTCTACTACCGGATTTCAATCTTTGTGCGAGCACCTTAGTAAAAAAAAAAAAAAAAAAAGAGCGAACGCGTGCGCGAACGTGCAGAAAAGTGGTTTGACGGCTGCAGCAATGGTTCTAGCGCCGTGGCATGCTGTCGTTAGTGGTGTGGTGCTTTATAGAACTAAAAAGTATAAACAAGCAAAAGCAAGTATGGCGACACGGGGAGCAGCGACATGATCAGGTCGTAAGAGTAAGATCTTTTGTGATTTCCTGCTTGTAAGTTCGGTAGATCTCGAGTGATGATTTCGTAAGCATTCCAATTTCCAAATGTCTCTATTTGCTTCCCTCACCTTCTTTTTAATCAATGTTTCCTTTTGGCTTGGTATTCTGCTGTTGACTAAATACCTGCTTGACAATTTTCGAGTTCGCTTCCTCCATTTAGTATCAACATTCTTCATGTACAAGTAGCTGAAAACTTTCCTAGCCCAACTCTCCTCTTCTATTTTTCTCAATCGCTCCTCAAATTCTATCTTGCTGCTAGCTAGCTTCCCAGCCCTCGAATGATGTCCATCCCATGTCACCCTGTACCCCTTGATTTGGTGTATTCCTGTGTGCTCCTAATGCGAGGCTACCTATTCCTCGTTGCTTAATTTCTTATCTTGCTTGAACCTCTGATCTTATGCACAAGATTGCATTGCCGAACGTCAGACCAGGAACCATGACCTCTTTCCATATTCCTCTCACATCATACCTATTGTAATTCCACAGTGCCCTGTTTTTCATTACCGCTGCATTCCTGTTACCTTTTAGTTGTCACGTATGTTTCGTATTTCCTTAGGTACTCGGCCCCATTGCTTATCCATACGCTCATATATTTGCATTTATCTGTTATCTCTAGCGTGACCTCCTGTATTCTAAGATCACTATACCTTCATTGTCATTAAAAAACCATGACTGCTGATTTTTTCTTACTGAATCTGAAATCTAACCTATCTCCCTCATTACCGCAGATGTCCACCAATCTCTGCAAATCTTCCTTGTTGTCGTCCATTAGTACTATATCATCTGCGTACACCAATGCTGGTAGTGCCTGTTCAATGAGTTTTCCTTGTTTGACGAAAGAGAGGTTGAAGCCCAGTCCACTTCCCTCTAATTTGGCCTCTAATCCTTGTAGGTACATCACGAATAATAATAAGGGTGACAGAGAACACCCCTGCCTAAGCCACAGCTGCATTCCTGTTGCCCTTAGTCATTACATATCTTTCGTGCTCCCTTAGGTACTCAGCCCCGTTGTTTATCCCTACGCCCAGGTATTTGTATTTATCTACTATCTCTAGCATTACTTCTTGTATCTTATGCTTACGGCCTTCGTTATCATTCAAAATCATGATTGCCGATTTTTCCCTACTGAACTTCTTAGTGCATAAAGCAACGAGCGCCACCTCACAGATTTATAGCGAACTGCATGAACTGAAGAAAACGACGCCGCAATGGAAAAGCGAGCAACGTGGCGGTGAAGGAGGCCTTCTGTGACGAGGCGTTGGTGCGGCCTTCCGGCCACTTCCATCACCACCTCTTCCGTGGGTAGGACTTGTTCGATTCGGACATGGCGGTTTAATCGTTGCGTCCTGGTGCCCTTGCGAGCGCGATTTGGCGAGCTGCGAGTTTTGAACGTCGCCGTAGTGATAATGGAGTGACGAGTTTCCAAACGGTCCTGATGTTGGACCTCGCACGAACATTGTGCTTTTTCGTTGGGAGCAAGCGTAGCGCTACCAGGAACCTCTTGTGTAAATGGAAGAAAGCTTCAAATCAGTTTGAAGCTTTCTGTGTGGTATTCATGGAACTATGAACCTAGATTCGTTGTCTTTTGCTTTGTCTTATATTAGTTATTCTGTGCCCAGCTTGACAAAGAAGAACTTCAAGTCCAGTGGTCAAGAGATATCCCGCGTAAGTAGACTCGTGAGCTTGCTATTTTTTCTCGATTTCGTCGTGCCTTCGCGTGAATGTTCTGCAATCCGCCATGTCAAGGAAGAACCGCCATTACAAATGACGTCACTTTAAAATATGAACTAGATTCCATTGAGTGCGGGGCGCTTTTTACGCCCATGAATGGCGAAAGAGAGAAAGTAGTGGTACGACGGCGTCGTGCGGCGGACGTGCTTCGGTGCGAACAGCGGTGTGCCCTGTGCTTGTGTGGCTTAGGCTTATTTTTTTTTTTTACCCGTACCGTGCTTAAGTTCGTCCCTTCGTTACAATCTTTTCCGTCGGAGAACAGTGTAAACCGCTGGCTTGTTCAACTGGTTGGCTTGTTTAGTGGTGTAAGGACTGGTTGGCTTGTTTTACGGTGAAACGCTGTGCTGTAGCTTGGAAACGGCCGGCTGCAGGGTATATTTTCAGGTATATCTCCTTTTATTTGTGTTCACATGGCAGAGCCGTAGCATAATTGTGGCATCTTTTTAAAGGATGTTTGTAGTCAACGATTCTCATCAGCAGTTCACTCAGGGCAACCATCATTTTTTCCTCGACCTCACATTGCCTACACTTCGCGTCAGCCTCTTCTCCATCCGCTTCTACACTTGGGTCCACTTTCAAACCCACTCCACATCCTGAACACTTTACAGTCTGTTTAACCATGTCTTTCTGACACCAATTGTTCCTATACTCTATAATTACTAAACTCGACCCCTGCACTACGAAAAAAAAGAAAGTCTAAGCTCTACTACAAAAATTTGCGTGTTTAATGTACGTGCACCTCCCCCACGGGGTGGCAAAAGAAAAAAAAACAACAAAAAATTTAAACACACACACCCGCACTAATAAATACCTGGTGACTGGCCCCCGAAAAAGCCGTACCATAAAACAAGTGCTACGAAGATTTCAACTGCTGCCTTATAATTATAACTTCATGGGGTGACTGGATCATGAACTCCAGGATTGTTGCAGTTGCGATCAGAACTGGTGTAAATGAAGGTGAGCTAGTCGGTAGGTATTGTGTTGGTGATTGATACGTAGTAGGTGGGTAGCCGAGACGTGCAAACACGACACACGAAATAAAACTCCACAAATGCCGACTAAGCAGTTTGCGCTTGTGGTGTCCTCTCTTGTGGCCGTGTTCGCACACCCCTGCTTTTCACCATGAGAACTGGCGTATTTCGTATGGTAGGTTGACAGTTCATTAGTTGAATTTCCTTCCGTCACCAATTCATCTGTGCGACATGAACACATGCAGTTTCTTCGGTGATGTGCGAGCTTGATATGAGTGCCGAGGCTTCTTACATTGTAGGCATTTTGTGTGTGTCCTAGTGCCTCATAGCCGTTGTGTCCCCGTGTTCTTGCATTCTCTTAAACGCCCGTTCACCAGCCGCCATCAAAAATAGAACGAAGGAACACAAGAGCTGTGTACGCCAGCGCCGTGTGTCCAGTACTAAAACTAAGCAGTTTTATAATAGGGTATAAAAACTTGCAGAGCTTTATAAAAGTGTACACAAAGCCATCGCCTCCTTTGGCAAATCATTGTTAGTTTTTGTATGCAATGAACGCTGTATTTGCATGTGCTATTCTAAAACTGCCAATTTTCATCACTTAAGTCTCCTTCGAAAAAAAAAAATTTTAGTCCAAAAGTTAGAAATATAGTTTTGCTTTGTTAAAATTGGGTTTGGGTGTTTATGATTGTGATGAGCTTAAACTTTAAGGTGATAAAATTGTCAAAATTGTAAAAAAAAGTTTCAAAAATCAAAATGAGTCAGAATATGCATGTTGTGCCAACAGTCATAACTACAAAAATGTTGGTGCAGCTCAAACTCATCTTGGAAGCCATGTAGTGAGAGCAACAATCTGTGCATCTACCTTTTTGACCACCATGTCTGAGCTATGGGGTGTTTTCATAAGAAGACTGGTAAAATTGATACTTGAAAGGTTAGTTTTGTACAAAATTGGCCATTGTGTGAAAATTTATCACTAGTTTTAAATCATTCTACTTAAATGCACAGTTCCACACATAAAAATAGCATGAAAAACAATTTTAATTAGGCATAATTGTTAGGAGAAAAGCTCTCGCTGTCTGCATACCTGTGGGATGCAAAGAAAAAACGTAGTTTTGAGAAAAATGGCTTTAATGATTTGAATTGAATTTTGATGTGACAAATAAACATTCAATATGCCCAAAGTTCATTAGGCTAATACCTTGGCAGCATGTTTGAAGCCACACAATCTCGTCTTGAGCAAGGTGAATCAATTTTTTTTTCCTAGCTTATTTTGCATCTGCGGCTGACTCTCATTCAAATGCTCCGCAGTGGGTATATTCACATGATCCGTAGCGCTTGGTATAGAGCTGACGCTTCTTTTTCAATGTGACATCATTTTGTCATATTTCATGCAGTACTATAACTTTATTCTAACAGGAAAACTAACTCCAAGAGCTTGAGATGTCATACAAAAAAACAGATGATAATCAACGGAAATATGCGCAACTTAAACAATGCAGTACTACAGCAGTGTAGGGGAGGTTTTAAAATTAGTGAAAAACATGTTCCATAAGCTTTGCAACATACTTTGGTGTTGCATATCTTTTCGAAAATAAATGTATGATGAGGTGGCTGGTGTTGTGTAATCTGAAACCTTGTTTGTTTCAGATGTCTATGAGAGGCTGAAAAAATGGCCATAACTTTCAAACGGCTCAAGATAATTGCACAATTTTTTTGCGACATATTCTAAAATAGACAGGGAGCTTGAAAATACGAAATCTAAAAAAAAAATATTTGTTTTCAAAAACTCTATTTGGAAGGGGCTAACTTACATTAACAAGGGTTTTCAAGAAGATAGCATATGACACATGCACAGTGGCAATAATTGCCAATACTGAGCTAATTGCCAATCTGGCCACAGTCTAATGTGGCACTCAAAGCTTTGCATATGCAGTCGCTGAAGTTTTAGCCACTCCGCATGCATGATATGATAGCCTTTTGGATGCGCATGTTTTTTTTTAAGTTGCGTGCATACCCAAGCAACTCCATGCCTGTGCACCCCATTCGACAACTACTGTAAAATGCTGAACAATCGCCCCCACCCAAGCAGGCGCTCCCTGCCTTTTTCTGGAGATCTGAAATCTCCAAATGGGGGAGCGCCAATAACCGGTCAGGCACCGAGCAAGTGCCCTACCCCCAAATCTGGTCGAATCATCCTTCACTGTTGGGGGGGGGCACTTGCTTGGCATTTCACGCTAGTATCTAGAAATCGCATGGCATACCCCTTGAAGTGAACCACTGCCATACCCCTTGTGTGAACATGTCTTTTTTTGCACAAGTTGCCGTTAATTCTTGTCAACAAAAGTTCACCATAGTGTACTATGTGATGCAAACAGTTTCCATGCTGCATTCTATGGCACTGTCATGAGATTCATTATAACATTTAGTGATTGGTCATTGATGCTTTTGTTTCTTCATAAACCTATATTATTGCTAGTATTCCTTCTGTAAGTGATGAACTTAATGTTGTTTGGCAGTTTTTTTGCTAGGTGTTGAAGTATTAGTCATTTTTACGTGACTTATTTTCATGTGCAAAAACTGCTCTGTGAAATGTGTCGGTGCATTCCTTAAAAAAAAAATTCGTTCACAGGCCTAAACCAAAGAAGACAACCAAAATTCAGTAAGTATTAGGGTGCATAGACCTAATAATTGGTATACCAAAATTCAGTAATTGTTAGGGTGCATAGACCTAATAATTGGAACTAGCCCTAAACGTCATAATGAATTAACACTGAAAATATTTTGTGATTGCTTCAGAATGATAGTGTAAGATAATCAAAGCTCATAGAAGTATGCTTAATTGGAACTTTTTCAGTGCAGCAGATACAGTGTGGGCAGGGCACACATTTGTCTCAGCATTGTAGCTGAGTAGTCCTTTGCCTTTAGTTTGCAAAAGTAGTCTATTGCTTTTTAGGGCAATAATTGTGAGTTGAAAAGGCTGTGGCCTCGCAGTATATTTTGAGGTTTACTGCTAGTTGGATAAGTGCAAATGCAATAACGAACATTACAGCTGTCTCTAAACGTGCTCTGGCCTTGTGTATGGACATTGTCTGTGTAGCTCGACATTTTATCTGTAGACTGTGCCATATATGCTAGTACTTCAGTGGTCTGGCGCTGCTACTTTACCGAGGCACTTTAGTCAGTCTGAAAAATAAAGGCATCTTGATGCTTTGCAGCTGACGCATCTTTGGTCCTTTTTTTTTTTCATACATTTTGCCCACAACATGTCTTGTGTTCTGATTGCACTGCTATCGTTTTGTTTTAAGATGTGTACATGTCACACATTTCTTGGTTTATATTATGGCTCCCCATAAATAATTTTGTCATCTGTCTTGCAAAGCTGTTTCTTGCAATTTTTGTTCATTGATGAAATTTGCATTGCATTCTTGCATGTTCCATGTGTTTGAACATTAGTGTAGAAATGACTTAGGGATTTCATGCAAATGAAAGGACATGTACAGGTAGATTAGAAAAATGAAGACAAGCACATATATCGTATGTCTGTATCCGATCCTTTGCTTGCAAGCCTAAAATTCTGTTTAGGTTTAGTCTTAAATTTTAAAATTAAAACTATTCTTCGTGACAGAATGCAAGTCTTCTTATTGGAGAGGCTCCACCTTCTCACTTTCATCACTCCTGATACACACTCGGTGACTTTGAAGGTTAAAGGAGCCCTGACATCAAATTTTAAGATCGAGATGTGCCCGTCATTCGATCGCTTGGTATGCATAGGTCTTCTTGGCCAAATTTGAATGGCATCCGTAGTGTGGAAGTTATTTTAATTTGATGTCAATTGGCGTCAAAAAGCTGCGGAGAAAAAACGCAAAATAGACTGCCCGGTGACATCGACACTAGTGCTACATTTTCAGTGTGATGTATTCCGCAAATACTATCCTGAGGGACGATACGCTAGTAACAATCACATCGACGATCCAAGTTTGTTTGGAGCCGACTCCCAGTCATGTTTTCACTAATGATTCTCATTCCTGTGTTGAAGTGTTCGTGCGATTCATCATGTCGCATCAACTGGTTTGACGTGTGCTCCACAGCGTGAGCACGATCATTCAGAGTGACAATACGTGCCAGAATGTCGGGGAACTGCCCTGCAGTCCTAGCGCGGAAAGTGCGTGGAAATTCATGCCTTTCCAAGCCACGAACCTCAACGCAGCCAGTGGGTTGACTTTGTGCGCGGCAATGAACAGAGTGACTGGACGCCTGTGAAGAACAGCTGCATTTGCTTGCTTCACTTTGCGCCGTGCTACTACAGGGTGAATCCTGTGTTGGCGAACCAGTTGGGGATCACTGGCAGTACCAGCTGCCCCTTCTCAAGGTCAGGGCTAAAGGGAGATGGGAAGAACAGGTTGGCCCTGTTCTTCCCAAAAGGTTCTTACAATGCCAGATACGATTGTAACATGCACCAATGCTTGATGCTATGGCTGTACTGCTGGATATTGTTTATTGATCATTTGACAGGATAAGTAGGGAGAGGAGGTGGAGACATTCTGACATTTCTAGAAAAGTGATGGGGCTGGACAGCACATGTGGAATGCACGAAAAGGTCCCCATAAAGTTTCTGTATGATGTACATTTATTTTTGCAAGCTTTGCTTAATACATTTTTATATTTCAAAAGTAAAATTGGATGAAAAGACAAGACTGACTGTGCTCTGTTTATTTAGGTAGTCCGCACTGGCTTATTACACAGTCTTGAATGTGTAGTAGTACTTATTAATATACACACGCTAATAACCACTCCACTGTGCTCTATTATGGTGTGTTAGTGGTTTGCGATGTGACCGACTCTAAGTTTTTGGCATGTTCTTCAGCTGTGATATTTTAGGAATGTATGTTGAGCTGGTCATATTAAAAAGTGGTGGAAATTAGTTGTACTCGGAATGAATTGTGGCTCATTATGTGACCAACAATTGTAACGAAAAAAAAAGAAAAAAGTGAATGCAGTGGTGTGGGGGGAAATATATTTATTGTATCACTATGGGAGCGCTACTGTGCTCCGATGGTGCGTTGCTTTGAGACCTTAAACTCAGTCAATTAGTTTCTGTCATGTTTGCTGGTAATTTTATTACATTTTGTTGTGATTAAAGCTTTAGTTTTCATTTTTTCAAATCCCCAATTAAGAATTTGTTAATGTCTTTCAATTTTAATGAATGAATTGATGAAGACCATATGGCCTGCTTAGTGACTGTAGTGCTTTAAGTGTCGAGGATTATTGTTGATGTGCTTTGTTGCACTTGTGTGTAAATATGCTTCGGCACTTAAGATAAGCGCTAGAGCATAATGGCCTTGAGAAGGTAATGGGACAACGTGCATTTGTTCAACTCTTCTTCATTGGCTTCACTAGGCTGCAGCTTTCACTTTCAGCTGTCTCTAGACGTGCACTGGCCTTGCGTATGGTCATTGTCTGTGTAGCTGGACATATATCTGTAGACTGTGCCATATATGCTAGTACTTCAGTGGTCTGGCGCTGCTACTTTGCCGAGGCACTTCAGTCAGTCTGAGAAATGAAGGCATCTTGATGCTTTGCAGCTGACACATCTTTGATCCTCTTTTCTTTTTTCATACATTTTGCCCACAACATGTCTTGTGTTCTGATTGCGGTGCTTTCGTTTTGTTTTAAGATATGTACATGTCACACATTTATTGGTTCATATTATGGCTCCCAATAAATAATTTTCATGTCATCTGTCTTGCAAAGCTGGTTTTTGCAATTTTTGTTCATTGATGAAATTTTTTTGCATTCTTCAATCTTCCATGTGTTTGAACAGTAGTGTGGAAATTACTTAGGGGCTTTCATGCAAACGAAAGGACATGTACAGATCGATCAGAAAAATAAAGACAAGCACATATGTCGTATGTCTGTATCAAATCCTTTGCTTGCAAGCGTAAAATTCTGTTTAGGTTTAGTCTTAAATTTTAAAATTAAAACTATTCTTCGTGACAGAATGCAAGTTTTCTTATTGGAGAGGCTCCACCTTCTCACTTTCATCACTCCTGATAAACGCTCGGTGACTTTGAAGGTTAAAGGAGCCCTGGCATCAAATTTTAAGATCGAGATGTGCCCGTCATTCGATCGCTTGGTATGCCTAGGTCTTGGCTATATTTGAATGGCATCCGTAACGTGGAAGTTATTTTAATTAGATGTCAATTGGCGTGGATAAGCTACGGAGAAAAAACGCAAAATAGACTGCCCGGTGACATCGACACTAGTGCTACATTTTCAGTGTGATGCATTCCGCAAATACCATCCCGAGTGACGATACACTAGTAACAATCACATTGACGATCCAAGTGTGTTTGGAGCCGACTCATGGTCATGCTTTCACTAATGGTTCTCATTCCTGTGTTGAAGCGTTTGTGCGATTCATCATGTCGCATCGACTGGTTTAACCTGTGCTCCACAGCGTGAGTATGATCATTCAGAGTGACAATACGTGCCAGAATGTCGGGGAACTGCCCTGCAGTCGTGGCGCGGAAAGTGCGTGGCAATTCATGCCTTTCCAAGCCACGAACCTCAACGCAGCCAGTGGGTTGACTTTGTCCGCGCCAATGAACAGAGTGACTGGATGCCTGTGAAGAACAGCTGCATTTGCTTGCTTCACTTTGTGCTGTGCTACTACAGGGTGAATCCTGTGTTGGCGAACCAGTTGGGTATCACTGGCAGTACCAGCTGCCCCTTCTCAAGGCCAGGGCTAAAGGGAGATGGGAAGAACAGGTTGGCCCTGTTCTTCCCAAAAGGTTCTTACAATGCCAGATACGATTGTAACATGCACCAATGCTTGATGCTATGGCTGTACTGCTGGATATTGTTTATTGATAATTTGACAGGATAAGTAGGGAGAGGAGGTGGAGACTTTTCTGCCATTTCTAGAAAAGTGATGGGGCTGGACAGCATATGTGGAATTCACGAAAAGGGCCCTATGAAGTTTCTGTATGAAGTAAATTTATTTTTGCAAGCTTTGCTTTATACATTTTTATATTTCAAAAGTAAAAATGGATGAAAAGACAAGACGGACGGTGCTCTGTTTATTTAGGTAGTCTGCACTGGCTTATTACACAGTCTTGAATGTGTAGTAGTACTTATTAATATACACATGTTAATACACCACTCCACTGTGCTCTATTACGGTGTGTTAGTGGTTTGCGATGTGACCGACTCTAAGTTTTTGGCATGTCCTTCAGCTGTCATACATTAGGGATGTATATTGAGCCTGTCATATTAAAAAGTGCTGGAATTTAGTTGTACTCGGAATGAATTGTGGCTCTATGCCATTATGTAATCAACAATTGTGACGAAAAAAAAAGTAAATGCAGGGGTGTGGTGGGAAATATATTTATTGCATCACTATCGTAGTGCTACTGTGCTCCGATAGTGTGTTGCTTTGAGACGTTAAACTCAGTCAATTAGTTTCTGTCATGTTTGCTGGTAATTTTATTACATTTTGTTGTGATTAAAGCTTTAGTTTTCATTTTTTCAAATCTCCAATTAAGAATTTGTTAATGTCTTTCAATTTTAATGAATGAATTAATGAAGACCACATGGCCTGCTTAGTGACTGTAGTGCTTTGAGTGTCGAGGATTATTGTTGATGTGCTTTCTTGCACTTGTGTGTAAATATGCTTCGGCACTTAAGAGAAGCGCTAGAGCATAATGGCCTTGAGAAGGTAATGGGATGAACACATTTGTTCCAACTCTTCTTCATTGGCTTCACTAGGGTGCAGCTTTCACTTCAGTGCTAGACAGTTGTGAAGAATACAGTAAATATGTTTATTGCTGTGTGAAATAAGCCTCGGCACGGTTGTCTAGTGACTAAGGCACTCGGCTGCTGACCCGCAGATCGTGGATCAAATCCCGGCTGCGGCGGCCGCATTTTTGATGGAGGTGAAAATGCTTGCTGCTCGTGTGCTTAGATTTAGGTGAGCGTTAACCCAACGTGGTCGAAATTTTCGGAGCCCTCCACTGCAGCGTCTCCCATAATCATTGGGACATTAAACTCCAGATATTATGAAATGAGCCTCAAAGAAGGGGTGTTGCAAGAGTCTCTTCAAATTCACAGGGCACTTATTTTTCAGTTTTTTTTTATTAAGGTTGATTGTTCTCATCACTTTTGTGCACCTTTTTAACATCTTGTCACGCAATTTTTTATTTTTTTTTTGCAGCTTATCGCCCTGCATGGGTTTGAGGCAGAGCGGCATCTGCTTCGTTGCCTTTTTTCCCACGTTGACTTCAGTGGTGATGGTAAAAGTAGTGGAAAGGACTTCCATCAGGTGAGCAAGCTGTTATGTTGTGCACGTTTTCTGTGGTGCTCTGTTGCACTGAAAGTAAAATAGTCTCTTTAGGCATTTCTATTGCCATTATAATATATGCCAATGGTATTTGCAGGCTGTAACCTTTTGGAGATGTGGGCTGTATTATATTAGTGTGTTCAGCTAGATTCTGTTCTGATTCCCTTGAAAATGTGTGATGTTGCTTAGATGAATTACATTGTGCAAGGAAGAATAGTAGTACAGTACTCTGGTAGTACTCTATTTACAAAACCTGGTTTTATGAATATGAGGATCTAATAAAGAGATATCAATTTTATGTGGTTTGATGTTATCAACTTGAATTAACAAAGCTTTCCGGGAACTAAATTTGATTCTAATGGTTTTTCTGAGAAAAATTGAGCAAGAATGCAGCGTTTTTTTAAGATATCGTCGCAGACTATGGACATGCAGTATAAAATAGTTGTGGTAAGAAAATCTGACCACTCTAGTCACTAATTATTTTTATTGTGACGAGGCTGCATGCAGCAGTTGGTAGCAGTTTTACATATAAAACGGTGCTGGACAATAGGGGTTCTGTCTTTTCAAATACTCCCAAAGGAACTTGGTGGATGCTTCTGTTGCTTAATGGTTTGTGACAGATAGCACTAATAGTCTGCTTGGGACTTTCTTGCTCTGCCTGTTCGCACGTTAACTGCATTTGTTCTCCCCGACCTAGAATATCGCCAGCTTCTCATAGCTTCATGTGACCATCTACTTTGCCTGTATCTCCCAGGCATGGAGAGGAATCTATGCCCGGGCTGCCCTCGCGGACTTAGTACACACGCTGGCGGGGTTTAGGGGCAAATAATATCCTGCAGCAGCTTTTGGGTGACACTACGTTACATTTTTTCATTTTGGACTGCAAAAATTCTTTTCTTGATTTCATGAGTTGCTTGAGAGAGAGAGAAACATCTTTATTCACAAAAGCATGGAAGAGGAGGGCATGGGAGGAACCCCTAGTCCGGGGTCCCTAGGACAACTCCCGCGATTAGTCGGGCCGGCTGTATCAGAGCTCGGAGGATCTCGGGAGGTCCATCACGGAGAGCATCATCCCACAGCTCCTCGTTACGTTAAGGGTGAAGGAAAGCCGACAAGGGAGGAAATATGTTTGTAGTGCACTCGATCGAGACATGGAAGCTCATTGGGAGTTTCCACAGCCGGGGCAACGGTCTGCATAGCACTGCGGGTATAATTTATGAAGTGATACTAGATTGGGAAATGTTTTAGTCTGTAGCTGGCATAACGCTTCTGCCTCCTCTCGCGAGAAAGATGGTAGTGGGGCGCTCTAAGTGCGACGGACGTTTCTGTAGTGACGAAGAATGTCGTAAGTGAGAAGAGGATCCCCCCACTCCGAAATGGTCGCCTAGCCTTGCCGGGCTTCCTGGAGGGAAATTTCGCGGGCAACAGTGTGTGGCGTTCATTGCCCGGCAGAGAGGCATGACCAGGAGTCCAGAGTAAGTGGATTCGAAAAGTACTGTTTGCTCAGTGGAATTTGATTGAGAATTTGGTGGGCCGCTCTTGGGATGCCATGTCCTGATAGGAAGGCCCGAGATGCCTGTCGCGAGTCTGTCAATGTGTAGACCGCGCTGTGAACACGGGTAGTGTATCGTATCGCTTGAGCGACTCCAAGAATTTCGCCGTGAGCTGCATGTGTCCCACGCATTGTAGCAGATTCCTGCAGGGAATCTGTGCCATCTAACACTACCGAGGTGTAACCTTCGAGTTCAAGCTGTGTCCGTGTAAAGAGTATGCGATTCCGGTATGTCTTCGAGCATACGGCTAAGGTATCGTACGCGGCATTTGCGCCGGCCTTTGTCACACTGGGGGTGCATGTTACGTGGTAAGGGATGAATAGTTGGTATTTTCCGTATCGCAGGGGATAAGGGCGGGGGGCGGGTTTCTTGAGTTAACGAAATAATTCGAGTGTCCCATCACCATGCAAGTTTGGCACTTGCTTATGTATTTGATCAGTTCTATTTTTGTGCAGTGGTTTTGACCATGCTTCACTCTAACGCTGCTGCTGTTTTTCTTTTTCTTACAGACCCAGTATTTGATCCAGGAGTTCAGCTCTGTTCTTTCCAAGCCTAATTTTGTGTCAACTGTGTGTTTTGCTATTGAAAATCCTCTTCATTATCAAAAAAGTGAGCTGTTCCATAATTGTGCGATTCTATTCCGGTGGGAAATGTATTTTGCTTAGGGCTGTAATGTGAGCACTGTTCGTGTGAATTATACTTTTGACAGTCAACTAATTCATTAGTACTTAGAGATTTCAGAAGCAGAGTCTTAATTTGTGTTTTCATTTAATACAAGCAGAGGCTTCATTTGTGTTTTCATTTAAACAAAAGTGTGTGGTCATGGAAGTAAGTAAAAGGATTGATTACATCTTTTTTTTTATTGCTTCTACAAGTCAGTGAGTAGCTTGCATCTTGACAAGGGCAAGACCTCTGTGGTTTTTTATTCTTTACAGAGTCTTCGACCGAGCGCCTTGTTACTTCCCCACATCAGCCATGTACTACGGTTAAATCGTGTGCAAGAAGTTGTTCTTGGCACTTGTTTGCTTTATTCGTCCAGTGCAGATCTGTGCAATTGTGCTACACAGTTTATCCGACTGAAGCTTCCTGACCTTTTACAATCTTACACAGACTCAGGCAAGTACCTTGAATACCGATTTCGGGTGTCTTTAGGCTTTTAGTGTCGCCAGTGAAAAATATTGTTACACTCGTGCTGCTACCTTGTGTGTCCTATCCTACTTGCTAAAGCAATTGCAATGTGACTTGGTTTCACTTGTGATAGACCTTTTGTAAAAAAACAAGCAGCGTTACAATCTGTTTAGTGTCTTGTGATCAGAAGACAATGTGTCCAGACAGCCCATTGAAAGGAACAAACTTAAAGATGGTTTTATTGTCTTGCTAGTCTAAAGATAACAAAGTAGATACAGACTTATGCTAGCATAAAAAAAAATTGAAAAGTCACAAAACTCACAGTTGAAAAGGCACAAAACTTGCTTAGCAACTGTAGTTGTGTATTGAAATATTGCATGCATACGATGTTTTTGTACAGAATAGCCATATTGATATTTAAGTTTCTTGGAATACACAAATTCCAAGTCTCACAAAGCTTGAGATCTTGTGTGCATGACACTTTTTTTCTGCCATTGCTTGGAACCATTAAAAGTACCAACCTATGGTAGGGTTAGTCAAGTGTTGTATCTGTACGTCATGCTGGAGGTGTCACTATAAAGGACAGGAGTTGTTGCAATTGTGCAAGTTCCTTCAATTTATTTGCCAAATGATGAGCATTCTCTTCCTTAAGTCTTGCTGATTTACTTGTAATTTTACTCTGTTCTGCAGACTTATCCACGCAAGAGAGTGATCTTCAGGACTGTAGTCCCGAGGTTCTTCACCTTTTGCTTGTAGATTTATTAAACAAGAACTCTGAGCACTTTGGAGTCACTAATGAACTGAAGGAGTCTTTTTTTGAGAATCTCCGTAAAGGTGAGCTAGCAGTACATATTACCATAACATTAGGTTCTGGCTTTTTCAGCATTTACCCCTTTTTTGTGATACATTGTACAGAGTGGTTACGAGACAAAAGGATGTGACATTATTTTTATAATATACTAAGTTTCATAACCGGTTTGTGTAGGTCATGTACGAAGCAGGATGGATGTGACAGTAGCCCTCGGCCTAATCTGTTGTTTCATCTGGAAATACTTATACAAGCCAAAACAGTTGTTCTCATTGTTATAGCCAACAACTGCCATCTGTACACCTGATGGTGACAAACTATGCATAATGTGCAGTTTTGTTGTGTCGTAATATAGTTTTTGCTATGGTGTTCTTCTGCCCAGGCACACATTGCAGCTTTGGAATATCATTTGTGAAGCAGCTGTCGCATTATCGTACACTGCAACACACGTGAATGCGAGCAGATGGGCAATGCACATGACGCCATTTATTTCTAAGAGAGCGAAAGCTTACTGTCCCAGAAAAAAAAAAAATGTCATCAAAGTGATTTTTTTTTCCCATTCAAAATGCTTGACAAACTTGGGTTGCTAGGCATGACATAGCAACCACCAGCCTGCAGCTCTGTACTAGCTGGCATGCTGCCGGCACTTTTGAAAATTCCTGAAATACGGCCATCTGTTCCAAACTATTATATATGCAATACACTTCACATAACAAGAAAGTCAACTACTAATTTTTCGAACATGATTGAAAATTTGGACGCTTCACATCGGCGTCAGATTTCTCAGACTTTTTGCCCAAATTTCTGGTCAGAAACTGTTATACTTGACGCCCTAAGCCCTGCTGCGCCTATCTTCTCGTAGGTTTGATCCAGTGCTTTTGCAAGTAAATCTATTTTTAAGCTGTAGCAGCATCTGAAAGTAGGCTTTGCCGCAATGCTTATGTGTGTTGGGGTGATGCCGATTGAAAATACAAAGGGGTTCACGGAGCAGTGCGACGATGCCTTTATAAATAAGCACTAGGAATGCATAGAGGCTTGATGGCAGCAGGTAGCGAACTTGCCAGTGAGACTTAATCACTGACAATTGTTTATGATAAGCATCTTCTGTTGACTGCTCAGTAGTGCATGAGGCCTAGCGCAGTTTTTACGGCATGCGTTTAATGGGCGGCAACGCAAATGTGCTGCACCTCCGTTCGTGTTCCCTCTTTGTGCGAAATAGCCCCCGCACAGACGCATTGTTTCGAGGAATAAAAGCCACATCGCCACACCCGTGTGCAGTCAGGAACTGAGTGGGCATAGCGAACACCTTCACGGCAAGTGCGTGCATATGCTACAGCTAGCAAGCGCCCCAGCAGTGACAGTCTGCGTAGTTCATGACAGGCTGCACACAGCTACGAACAATTGGCTGCACATGGCAGCAAATACTGCATGTCAGTGGAGAGATTTTCGTCCTATAGTGCATCATTTGTTATGTGCTAACACGAATCGGGGAAAGTCGAAAGATCCGCTCTTCTGGCACAGCCCTTGTGTCCCGCATCGTTGTTTTCTAATGCCCCATGTGAAAGTGCCTTCCTTAAAGGGCCACTCACCACCCCGCGTTTAGAGACGAGGGGGTGATTTTCTCCTCTCCTTCATACACACAATGCATCCTACTCGCCCCTTAGTTCTTGAATGCATGTGAACAATATCAGCACTAATGTTATACCAACACGCCCTATCCTACTGTCTCTTGAAGCATAGAGCCTATGAGGATTTCGTGCTTTTCAGCTGCACGCTGTTATTGCCGCTTGCACAATTGTAAACACAAAAAATGAAGTTTGATCAGTTGATTGTGTACGTTGTTCATGCAAGGCAAGAAATACCGAATGGGCGGCTGCATGACAGAGCAGTGCAGAAGACGAATCACGTGTGATATTTCGCGTATATCAACGAATAGAGAGCATGTACGCTGTAGACGTCACGTAAAACTACTGTCTACGTCAGAAGAGTGCGCCAAGAAGGGCGAGAAATATCAGGAAAGAATATTGCGCTCTTTTTTTAAATTTTGGGAGCTTGGTGCGTGGCCCTTTAACTTAGAGACACTAAAGGCAAATATTGAGTCAATGTTGATAGTTCAAATAGTAGCAAAAAAACCTCTTAGTGCTGCTTTTGTGCCAAAGAAGTGCTTATTTTGAAATGAAATCGCGTTTTAGTGGTTCGCATCATGTTAGCGCACTTCAAATTTCCCGCTGAAAGCACTCAGTCTCGCGTCACTGTGACATCGGAATCATTTTTGTGAATGTCCCACTCGTGGCGCATGTGTTCTCGTGAATTTACCTTAATTTCTCGGTAAGTAGGGCACTAATGTCGATAATGTTGTAATTTTAGATGTTGTCCTACATTGAGCTTTCACTCTGACATAAACTGTTTTGACTTTAGTGTCCCTAGCAAGAATGCTGTAGGCCCGTGTGCTCAGATTTGGGTGCACGTTGAAGAACCCAAGGCGGTTAAAATTTCCAGAGCCCTCCACTATAGTGTCTCTCATGATCATATGGTGGTTTTGGGTCGTTAAACCCCATATATCAATCCAGGCTTTAGTGTCCCTTAAATCAGCACATTGCTGGTATCGGCGGCACTCTCACTATAGTTAAAAACTGCATTTGCTGCACGCACTGAATGTATTCACAAGAGTCTGATTGCTCATATAAATGCCCTATAAGTGTCCTGGGAGTCATTGAAGCTCTTTCAGACATGGGTGGCGATTTCAGGGGTGGAAGTGCTGCGCCATTTGAATAATTCTTTGCCAATCTACCCTGCTTCGCCTAACGGCAATATGCGTGTGCAACTCCAAATTTAGTCGAGTTTTATCATCGACTGAGCAACACGAGTGGGTTACACAAAGGACGCAGCCGTGTTTATATCAAATTGGTTCGGCCACGTCGTATTTCGGTTCATGAGTGATTCTTGTTAAGTTGGTGTTTGTGTGCATACCTCATTAGGCGACTTTGTATTTGTCTTAACAGCAAAGCTGTTAGCCGAACCATATAAACTGAAAAAAAAAAAAAATCTGTTTCACCGGTGAAGCAATTACTGCAATAGCGAGAATTTGTAATGTTTAAATGGTATTGCCTCACACGCTTCTTCATTTTTGTTTTTGCTATCGCACCATTACGCGTGTAGTAACGCTGCATTACGCAAACCGCGCTCGAATGACTGGAAGCAATCTAGGTAATCTAAGAACATTTCAATGAGATTACGCACACGTGTGCATTAGAGGTTGTCCTGGAACTTACTCAGCCGGCAGCGATAATGCTGGAATCTTCGATGGCACATGCATAATTGGCTAATTGTCGACGCACTTTGCTGCTTGGCAGATTGTCGACGGCAGACGCTATATATTCGATGCTGTCAGCCGACAGCGTGTATTGCTTGTATGGTGACGTTTTGTTTTCCGGGCACAGGTTCGCCCGATTAAGAAGTTCACTCATGAAAACAGCAGCTGCTGCTTTCGTCATCACGACCCCGGGACAGTGCGAAGGCTGCGGCTAACTGCTAACTCTTTTGGATATGACATTGCAAAACTCTAGAAAACGTTTGTGCAAGATAACAAGTACGGCGGCTCCAAGGAGAATCGCTCTTATCACACAATCTCTTCTTGTCGAGTGTGCACCACGTAGAACTGTTTACGAACCGTGTGCTGATGCTTTCCAATAGCGTGCGCACCAGCTATCGCAACTACGCCCTTAAAATTAAAGTTCACCGCTACTGCTCGAACGACCCCCTCCCTCCTTTTCCACGCGTCTTTTCATGCTCGTTGAAGACAGACGGCATGTTTCCTTTCTGCTTGAGCATTCGACGGCTGGTCTATCACACGCGGTGCGATGCTATCGTAGGTGCCCTTCGAGCGACGGATGTCGGCCGCCTCGTTTAATCTCTGCTTGAGTAGTACTCACCATTTGCTTTATCGACTTCCTCCACAAATTCTCTCTTGATTCTTCCGACGAGACAAGGTTTGTTAGACGTTGACGTTGATGGTGTGACTGTTTCTGCCTTTATAGATACTGTAGCGCACATTTCTGTAATGAGCGCGAACCTTCGCCGACGCCTACATAAAGTGCTCACGCCTGCCGCTTCCCGCACACTCCGAGTTGCTGATGGGAGGACCCCTGCCGTTCAAGGGATGTGCACGGCCCGTGTGTCCATTGCCGGTCATCCTACATTAGTTCAGTTTGCCGTCATTGAAATGTGTCCTCATGACCTAATACTTGGCTTGGACTTCCTGTCACGTCATTCTGCGCTCATTGATTGTGCCACTGGTGCTCTTCAGCTTGAGCTGCCGCAGCTTGCCGATTTTCCAGCTGACCATTCCAGCTGACCTCGTCACTACGTTCACTTGCCTCCGCAAGCTGCTACATACGTCACTTTGTCGTGCTCCCGTGATGTGCCCGATGGTGGTTACCTCGTCACTCCTATAGTCGCCGTATTGATGGCCCGAGACGTCGCCCTTGCTCACACTGTTGTCTCCGTCGCTGATAATACAGTGGTTATACCCCTACTCAACGTCAGTATCTTGACTCAAGTTATTCCGCAAGACGTGTCTTTGGGCACCCTATCTACGCTTGACCGCTGCAACGTTACTGGTTTGAACACCGATGCTACGCCCCCCTGTCTTGGCCGTAATTACACTCTGCCTGCCGATGACATTAACAAGATGATTGCTCCGGATCTCACCCCAGCTCAAATTGTCGGCCTCCGTCGTCTGATAACATCATATAGACATTTTCGACTTTGACCACCGCCCTCTTGGCCAAACAACTGCCGTGACTCACCGGAGAAACACTGGTGATGCCAGTCTTATATGGCGGCGTCCATATCGCGTATCTCACAAGGAACGCCAAGTAATTCAGAATGAAGTGGACAAAATGATTACTAAAGATGTCATAGAACCATCATCCAGCCCTTGGGCTTCCCTAGTCGTACTCGTTGAAAAGGATGGCAGCTGTCGCTTTTGCGTGGACTATCGCCATTTGAACAAAGTCACTCATGA